CACTCCCCCACTTGACTGAGCTGTTGGAATGAAGGGACTGGAATAAAAAGGCATCTTGTAGAATTCATTCCTTCTTTTTTTAGAATTCGTTTCCTTACGCCATGCAAGCTTGAAGACAACGCTGAGTACTGATTAGTCAGCTGTGTGGATTGATGTTGTCTTGAATCTGATCAGCTTTGCCTAAGGACACTGGGACATGGCTGTCTCTGCCTGACCTTGGGCAAGGACGACCAGCAGGGCAGCTTTCTTTAGAGGAAGAATCTGCCCCTGGTTTTCCGTTTCTGTGTTCTAAACTCACATCGGAGTTTTCATTTTGTAGCTCTAGCTACGTGCCAAGTGAACGCCTCCACTTAGATTTATCTCCATTATGATGAAGTTAATGTGCTTAAAAAGGGATGTCCTCTTCCTTCCAAATCGATTCTCACTCTTCGTAAGATGGTCAGGTTTTCTTAGTTTCTAAGGAGCCTGGTGGCATAGATTACACGCTGGGCTGATGACGGCCAGGTCAGCAGCTCAAACCCACCAGCCATTCTACCAAAGAAAGAGTAACAGCCTTAGAAACGCAAAAGGGCAATTCTGCTCTGTCTGGGGGTTGCTGTGAGTCAGGGTGGACCGACGGCAGGGGAGAGGGACGTTCCTCTGTAATCCCGCTTTCCAGTCATCTCATCTGATCAGTCGCCAAGTCCTCAGTCCTCTGTCATAGAGCCGCTTGCCCTGGGCTTTTCTATTCTAGTCCCACAATATCCGCTCTGTCCTAGCATTTAGTGTGTCCCGCGTGGGTGACCACCTATCCCCCCATTGCTTCTGCCTCCTTTGGCACACCTCCAGTGTGTGCATATCTTTGTACATATCTTTGTACAAAGGGTACATATCTTTGTACCCTTCCTATCTTAGCATAATTCTTGGCCCTGGCTGCACAGTTTCCCAAGTTTCTTGTAGAATACATGTTGTAAAAATAGATCTATTTATCATAACTATTGCTCAATAACATTAATGGGTATGAGTGGCTGACATTTTATTCCCAGTGCTTTAGGATTTTCCTCCACCTGGTAATGAAGGAGTGAGGATAGTAATTGGATTCCAACAGTAACTATTGGTTAGGAAAGGAGTGAGGTCAATTTAGCTATAATAATGTCCTTGCAAGATCTACCCTGGTCACTGTGCATCCGAATAGACATGACGGCAGTGGGCGTGCTTGGGGGCTTTCTGTGTAACATCGGTTGCTTTTAACATGAGACGTTATCAAACTACCTGGGTGAAAAAAGCGATTTTGTGAATGGCGTAAGTGGTTTCATCACTGCTGTAATATCTCTTTTCCTTCAACGTGACTTCGAAACTTATAAATGCTAACCAACTTCTTGGCTTTTCTTTGAAATATTAAAATGGTTTGTTAAGTGGCAACTGGAACGTGGCCTTGAACAATACAACTAATCTTAAAAGATGTGTCTTAAGAAAATAAGGATGTCGGACTTCACGAGTTTTCATTAATAGTTCTTTGAACTTTTTGTCTTAACAGCCACCCAGACCAAGACAAAGAAGACCTTAGCCAAGCCCAACATGAAGAATATCGTGGTGGTTGAAGGTGTTCGTATCCCCTTTTTGCTGTCCGGCACTTCGTGAGTACTGACACTCGTGCCACTTGCTCCTGCTGTGAAGGCACTTTCAGGAGTGGCTTGTGTAAATATAACTCTGGGTAGTCGTACTGCTAGTGGACTGATTTATAGACAGCGCAGTCATGAAATTGATGGAGAATAAGGAAAGCCAGCAGGCAAATAACGTGGCAAAACTGGTTTGACCACCCTTCTCAGGAAGAAGCCTATAGTTGCTGAGTATAGTATTATAGTAATAGTATTCTCTTAGCTTAAACCAGCTCTGCTTGGAAAGAGTCTAGAGCAGCAGTTCTCAACTGCTGGGTCGAGACCCCTTTGGGGGTCCAATGACCCTTTCACAGAGGTCGTCTAAGACCATCATCGGAAGACACATATTTCCGATGGTCTTAGGAACTGAGACACCGCTCCTCTATCTGTCTCCAGGCGGGTCCGCCCACATGCAGATATGCCCACGTAGGAGTACCCGGCGTGAAGACTGTTACCCGTGCTACACCATGCTTCAAAATAACATTTCATTTGTTTGTCATTAGAAATAAATATTTCCACCATATAGAATTACATATTGTTTTGGGGTTTTTTTTCCCTCCCAAATTTTTATTTTATTGAATAAAAGAAAAATCATCCGGGGCTTACATAGGTCCCAAGAACACTTTAGATTACAATGGCAGAGAGATCAATAGCTGAAACCAAAAGACAGTTTATAGTTAAAGTGTAGAAAAAAATCTAATTGTTACTGATGTCTTGTAAAATTCCCCAAACAAGGTCTAGCCAAGTTTATTGTTCCATGATTTCCACACACACACACCCCTTTTCTTTTTCTTTAAGGGATGAAAAATGAAATTCAATGCATGTACTACTGGTTACAACTAACATACAGCTTGAAAAAAATCATTAAACAGAAGCATAAATACAATATAAAAAGACAAGATTTTAAAATCCTATTATAGGAATAGGAACTATACTAAGTGGAGAAGATACATTAAAACCAGCAGTGCGTTAACAATTGCTTGAAACAGAGCTCATGAGGCAGATCAACACTGAAGCAAGCTAAGGAGAAGGGTCTGCATTTCCGAAGCACTTCCAGACAGACACCACCACAGAGCAAAGCCAACAGCGACTACTTGGTCCCTCCTCGTTACTCAGTGAAGAATCAAGTGGGGCTGCAGGGTGAGCAGCTTACACTTTCTCCAGGGATCTGTAGTACTCTGTCAGCACAGCCCAAGCCTGGGCCGCCATGAAGCCTTCAGGAGGTTTCTGGCCTTTGGGGGTGAGTTTGCACATTCGAGTTCCTAAAATAAATTCAAAGTCTTCGTGGTGCTCTGAGTCATAGTAGTCCATCCGCTTCTTCTTGTTGTAAGCCGCCACTCGGAAGGGTACTATTTCCAAGGTGATCAGCCCAGGGGCCATGGTTAGCACTTTGGCACCATGTGTTGGTTCATAGAGATCCTTCCCTGTTTCTGCATGGGGTGTGCCAGCAGGGTCTTGTCTGACAATGTAAAAATTGGCCCCTGCAACCATCCACACTCTGCAATGCCATTGGACCTCAGTGGGCCCAGCATACATCATGGGAGACGGAAAGATGGCCACCACTGTTGTTTCGGGGTTCAGGACACCTTCCTCCAGCACTGCAGCATGCTGCTTCGTCCGCCACATCAAAGGGACATCATCATCCTTTGTCCAGCCACCAAGAAGGTGCAGGAGGAGGACAGGGTGCCGGTAGCCCCTCTCCAGCAGTTGCTTATGGGTGTCCTGCATTAACCGAGCATGTCCATTGTGCACCGGGTTGCGTAACTGAAATGCAAAGACAGCATCAGCATTCATATCTTTAAATTTCTGCTTTAGCTCAGTGGGAGTAAGACGATACTGGTCAAGACCATCATTCCAATATATCCGGTCTAGGACTTGAAGATCTCCGCCCATCAGCCAATCTCCTCGCTCCATAACCATCTTGATGTAGGGATGGTTCTTGCATGTCGATCCCCACTGTCTGGCACAGCGCTCCTCTTTCCTGTGCTCAAAAAACTCAGGGTTCCAAAGAATAGCCACCCGGCGGCCCTCGTAGATCAGAGCGAATGCTGTGCGGCCATCCAGCCTTTCTTTATCTTCTTGGGGAGCCGTCAGAACGTCCAGAAGACAATCAAAATGAAGGCACTGCAAGTACTCCCTCTCTCTCATAAAGCCGTTCGGAGGTGTCGCCCAACCTTCTGCCAAAACCTGCACCCACTGCATGTCCACTTTATTAATTTTCAGTGCTGGCAATGTTTCTGCGTCTGTTTTCGCCAAATGAAGTTTATTTTCTGGCACATATAGCTCTTTTACTTCGTAAGAGGCATCCACAGATACAATGTCCCGTTCCTGCAGAAGTTCCACAACTTGCTGGACACAATCATTGACGTCGCAAGAGTGGGTTTTCAGCACCGATTCAGGAGCCTCTGGTTTTTCATACTCAGAATCAATCCCAGTGAAACCTTTTATTTCTCCAGCCCCTGCTTTTTGTAGAGCCCTTTGACGTCTCTCTGCTCACAAACATGCAGAGGCGCATCAACAAACACTTCAAAAAACGGCAGACTTGCACCCTCATGAATCTGCCTTGCATTGTTATGATCCTGAGTATAAGGCGAAATGAAGCTTGTGATGCACACCAGGCCGGCGTCTGCAAACAGTTTGGCAACTTCAGCGATAAGCCGGACATTCTCTTCTCTGTCTTCAGGGCTAAACCCAAGATTTTTATTGAGTCCCTGACGAATGTTGTCACCATCCAAAGTATAGCACGGAATACCATGCCACACCAAGTACTTCTCCAGAGCCATGCTCACCAAGGTCTTCCCCGCTCCTGACAAGCTGGTGAGCCAAACTGTGCAGCCGCGAAAGCCACCTCTGGTCCCCACCACCTGGCCTCTCTTGTTCCTGCTAACGTGGTGGGCTTGATAGTGACGTTCGTGGCTGTCTGCATTCCCCAGTTCTGCGCGTTATTGCTCAGCTTGACTTTCTTGTAAAGGCTCCCGGGAATCTCCATAGCTGCAGAAGGCACGTGGGCCGAGTTTCGGCCGAAGGGCAGCCAGAGGAGAGGAGGCGGAGAATTACATATTGTTTTTCTGATGAATCCCTACGCTTTCATTATGTTCAATTTGTAACAATGAAAATACATTGTGCATATCAGATATTTACACAACGATTCATAACAGTAGCAAAATGACAGTTATGAAGTAGCAAAGAAAATAACTTTGTGGTTGGTGGTCACCCCCACAGGAGGAACTGTATGAAAGGGTCATGTCATTAAGAAGGTTGAGAACCACTGGTCTAGAGCAAGTCCAGAGAACTTACTTCCCCCACTTTACCTGTGTGGAGATGATGCGTTGTTAGATGTACCAGCGTATAGTAAGGCACACTGGAGGTTTCAGGCAGATTGGAAGGAATAGTAAACCTCGAGGTTTTGATTGAGATGATTGGTTTTCTTTCTCCAGATACAAAGAATTGATGCCACATGATTTAGCCAGAGCTGCACTTTTGTAAGTAGATGCAATTTCTTTGTTTTTTTTCTTTCTTTTTTTGATTATATTAAAAAAAAAAAATAAAGATGTTGTTCTCCAATTTTTAAGTTTAAAATTACATATTTAGCAGACTTTTTATACCCAGGGTTTATTAGCTTTTATGTGGTGAGAAAAAAACAACTATTTGCACAGCTAGGGTTTGCCTTTTGTAATTGGTAGTCTGTAAAGTGAAGCCCGAGCGCATTATGACCATCGTGTTCCCCACCAGCCGTTCACCAAATAGTTTTAGCATCCGCCGAGCCTTTCTGCCCGAACCAGTTATTCCATTAGCAATTACAGACGTGATTTTTCTAATCCTGTTCTTATGCTTGTCAGCTGACGTTGATCTAGGAAGCATAAGGGACTCACTGGCACCTAACTGTGACAGTATGTTTCCTGTAAAGCACAGCTTTGCTGTGCTTTCCTTTCTTCCTTTTTTTTTAAATCACGGGGACATTTAAAAATGTTGTTCTTTCACTGTGTGAAAGCCACTTTAGTTGTTCTTTTTGGTGCTCAGTATCTCACATTTTATCAGTCTGAGCTCTTTCAAGCTGGCTCCACTGTACCTTTTATCAGTTAATATTTTCCCTTTTACTATTTTGTAGAGCCCTGGTGGCAGAGTATGTTTCTCAATGGGTTGCTAGCCTCATGGTCAGCAGTTCAAAATCACCAGCCGCTCCAAGGGAGGAAAATGAGACTTTCTACTCCCGTAAGGAGTTACAGTCTCGGAAACCCCCAGGGGCAGTTCTACCCTGCCCTATGGGGTTGCTGTGAGTCGGATTTATCTAGATGCCAGTGATTTTACTAGTCTGTAGATGATAACATACAGCAATACAATGTATTGCAATACAATGTACACATTTCAAGCATATAGTGTAATGAGTTTTGGCAAACGTGTTGACCGATGTGTCTGTTTTTGACACAACCCCTCTTTGACCAGCCCCTCTATGCCCACTTTTGACCAGCCCCTCTGGTCTTTGAGCACTGCCTTCCTTGCTGGCATACAATGTGAATGGGGCTCACTTTGGGCTTTTCCTGGTATCACTCATTTTTAAACGGA